AGCATTTTTAATAAGATCCAGAAGCACAGACAACAGAAGACAAATATACAAATGAGATTGTGTCAAAGAAGGTTCTGCACAGCTAAGAAGTCATTGACTGAGTGAAGAGACAACAAAAATAAGAAATAGAATGTTGGGAAATTGTTCATCTGATACAGAATTGATATCCAGGATCTATAAAGAATTCCACGAAATCAGCCACAGTACCAATAATAAAACACAATCCAGTGAAAAAGGGGGCAAAGGGCCTAAGTAGACATTTCTCAAAAGAAGAAATACAAATGGACAACAAATCTATATTGAAAAAATACTCAATATCATTGGCAATCAGGGAAATGCTACTTAAAGCCATAATCAAATCCTTAAACTCTAGTTGTAGTGATTATCCTCATGAAGATCAAACAAAAACAAACAGAAAAACTCTAATACGGGAAAAGGAACTTACACTGCTGTTGGGATGCAAACTAGCACATCCATATGGATTTAAGTATGGAGACTCCTCAGCTAAAAATAGATGTACCACATGATCCAGCTATCCTACTCCTAAGTACTTATCTGAAGGGAGTAAAATCAGTGTGCACTTGCTTGTCTGTTGCATCACTGTTCACAATATTCAAGGGATGGAATCAGTCTCGTGGCACATCAGATGAAGAAAGGATAAACAAAATGTGGAATACACACCCAAAGGAATACTCTCCAGTCATTAAAACTGAAACCCTGTATTTGCAGACACGTGGATGGAAACAGGGGAATTATAGTAAATGAAACAAGCCAAGACTTAGAAAGATATATACTGCATTTTATCTTTTATTTGTGGAAGCTGAAAATGTCAGCCTGAACTTGGAATAGACTATGAGAACCTAGCCTAGAATGTGTCATCAGGATGGAAAGCAGAAGATGGGGTTAATACTTATTAAATTAGTTAAAAGTGATAAGATCTAGTGTTCTATGGAACAGTGGGGTTACTACACATTCACAGGGATGTGTGATATACTGAATGAGGAACTAGAGAGAGGAGCTTGTAATGCCCAAACATTGAAAAAAAAAAAAAAGATAAAGTGGGGCTGGCATTGTGGTTCAGTTGGTTAACCCACTAAATGGAAGTCCATACTGGTATGTTGGGCTGAATTCTGGCTGCTCTGTTTCTGATCCAGCTTCCTGCTAATGCTTCTTGGAAAGCAGAGGAAGATGGTCTAAGTGTTTGGGCCCTTGCTGCTCATATAGGAGATCTGAATGGCATTTAGATCCCTGATTTGCCATGACCCAGACTAGGTTGTTGGGAGCCATTTGGAAAGTAAACCAGTGGATGAAAGGTCTCTCTTTCTCCGTCTTTCTTTATCTCTCTCTTTCTTCCTCTCTCTTTTTCTAGCTCTTTCAAATAAAAAAAGAATAAAAAAAATACACCTCACACACATAAAAAAATACCTCACAAAAATGTGCAAGGCAGAACCTGCTAAAAAATAGACAAAAGCAAAACATTGTTCATAGAGATGGTAAAACCTTGATTTAAGCAAATTACCAACTTGTTCTGATTAATTTCAAGATAAAGTAGTATTATAATTGAAGACTTTTTCATAGACTCTTTTCGATCTTATTGTAATCTGTTTTTTCATTTTTGATACTTTTCATATGCAAAGCAGTAAGCAGTAATAGCTAGACTGAAGGAGTAATTTACATGTGAAAAAGACCATAATTTCTTGAAACTGGTAACATTTGTTTAAAGGACACTAGAAACTATGCTATTGGTCAAAAAACTTTCTAGACACTTGTTCTGTGGAAGGACCTTTGTTAGGTTTGGGGGATATATTGCTGTTATACAAGACCAATTCCAGCTTTCTTGGAATTAAGAGTCATCTGGTTCAACCACTGCATAATGTGTTTCATCCATCATTTTATCAATAAATAATTTTGTGGGAAGATTTCCAATAATGAGATATTTCTTCCAACCCATTATAAGGCTATTTGGTAGATAATTATTTTTATTAATATGCTTTTATCTTAAAAAGCATTATTAACTCATGGAAAATAATTTCTGTATTGACCCAAATGTACCCTCCTTGACTTATTACTCTTTGTTCTGCCTTAAGAGCTTTAGAGTAAATCTGACACAGTAATTTCTCCCTTTCGCTCACCCTGTGTGTGAAATTTGAGGGAAAGGCTTTCAAATATATGGAGAGAAGTTTCATGTGGCTGTATGGCTTCTCTGGGCAGAACACTGCAAATTCCTTTCATCATTTCTTCTGTGACATGCTTTTTAAATCATACACCATCTTGATTGCTTTCCTCTGCTTGCCTTCTACTTTGTCACCCTTTGTTGTTAAAAATAAATTACTCCCAATTTCCTGCTTTCAATAGAGTAGAGGCAACATAATTGACCGTTTGATGTCTGAGGGTCTGGTGTGGTCTGAAAGCAATTACACTGACCTTGAATCCTACTGTACTGTAAGTATCATTATAGGAAAAGTTAGGGATCACATGAAATCTTTAGCAGGCTCTGAATATATCTTAAAACATTTTTGAAAAATAAAATTTATTTCCTACTTCTGTATTACCTCTATGATTATATTTTGTGAAGGTAACTAATATCAAAAGTAAAACATGAGTAACTGGGAAATCATCATACAGATAGATCATCTTTCTTCAGTAGACTGAGGACATTCTGAAAACAAGGATTATCTTAGTATTCTCTTAGTCTGTCTCTAACTCTATCTTTCACCGTCTGGCTCTGTTTTATTTATATAGACATAATTTTATGACAGTTTCATAGGCTCTGGAATTCCCCCAGCCCCTCCCCAAAGCCTCCCCCCATATTGAATTCCTCTATATAGTTACAGTAGTGCAGTTCATAACTAGACATGATTCCTTCATTGTGGGCATGGACCATGCAGAAAGTTCTGTTTTTTTTTTCATATTCTCTCTCTCTCTCTCTCTCTCTCTCTCTCTCTCTCACACACACACACACACACACACACAGACACACACACACGGCACTTCAGAAAGTTCATCTGGTGGTTTGGGGATGTGGACATTTGGGATTGCAGTTGCAGCATTTAGGGCAAAGCAGTTAGGACAGCACTTAGGATTCTGCATCCCATATTGGAGTGTATGATTTGAGTCATGATCCCCAACTCTAGCTTCCTGAGAGTATGTGCCCCAGGAGGCACTTGATAACAGCTCAAATAAACAGTTCCCTGCTGCCTGTGCAAATGGGAAGCACCTGGACGGAGCTGCTGGCTCGTTGGATGTTCCAGGCATTTGAGGAATGAACTACCAGATGGGGATCAGTCAGTTGGTCTCTCTGTCTCTCTCTTCCTGCCTTTCAAATGAATAATATTTACTATTTTAAATAAAATTTACTTAAAAATAGAATATTTTGAAAAGCTTGTGGAAAGTACAATTAATGATGCCTTTGGGGACAGGTAGTTGGCACAGTAATTAGGAACTTGCTTGGGACTCACTTATCTCATTTGGGACTACCTGGATGTACATCCCAGCACTGCCTCCAGTTCCAGCTTGTTGCCATTGGACACCCTGGGAAACGACACGTTGACGAGTCTGGTCTGTGTATGTATTCCACCTGTTTGGGAGAACTGGATTGAATTCCAGGCTCCCAGCATCAGCCTGGCCTAGCCCTGCCTGATGCGGGGCCTCCAGAAAGGGGAACAGCAGGTAGAAGCACTCTCGCTGACAGACATCTCTGTCTCTCTTTTTGTCTCTATGCTACTCAAATAAATAAAAATAAAATTCTAAAATATAAAACATTAAAGTTATGTTTTTTTAATACAAACAAAATTTTGTCATAGTAGTCATTTACCATCGACTTTTTTGTTGTTTTTCATATTTATTTGTTTGAGAAACAGAGTTACAGAGAGTGAGTAGGATGGAGAGAGAGCTATTTTTGATCCACTGATTCACTCTTTAAATGGGCACCAAAGCCAGGGCTGAGCCAGGTGGAGACCTGGAGCCAAGAGCTTCATCTGGTTCTTCCATGTGGGGGGCAGGGTCCCAAGGGCTTGGCCATCTTGTGCTACCTTCCAGTTATCAAAGAACTGGGTCAGAGTAAAGCAGCCAGGACCCAAACTTTTACTCATCTGGGGTGCTGGTCATATAGGCCGTTAAACTTCTACACTACAATTCTGTTACCCTCCATGTGCTTTTTGAAGTATCTTTAAATATATGAAAAAATATATTTTCCCAATAAATATTTGATAGTCAGTGCCTTATATACAAGGAAGTTTTGGAAATTGAAATTAATTTCAGCTTTAAGAATGTATTGAATATATTAGATGTGATAGAATTGTTAATAAATTTATCCTAACCTGAAAATGGCAACCCTGGATAGTTACTTAACAGCGTCCAAAAAGTAAAATAGGAGTGTGTTCAATGGTCATACCCTTAACTCCCAATGAGAAAATCCCAATTAGCAATGGTTCAAACTCTAAGAAGGCTGTTATTACCTAGGAGGCTGAGAGAAACTGAATCTGTTTAAGGAAACAGCATCTCAGGCTCTTTCTGTATTTCTTCTGTCATTCTTGGTTTGTTACCATTTTGCCTCCTTGGCTTATTGCCTTATGGTTGCAGCATGGCTATCCAGCTCCAGATAGTAAAACTGCATCCAGAGAGGAGTCTCTCTGATGTCTGGGGAAGAGTTTTTGACCCAAACCAACTGGTAACGTCTCATTGTATCTAGTCAGCAAAAATTGGGTCTTGGGGCTATCTCTAGAAGGCAGCAAAGGAATAGTATCTTAGGAATGCCTGTTGATTAGTTAAACAATAGTTCATGTCATAACTAGAAAAGGAAGGTAACAAATGCAAGAAGCCAAATTTTCTAAAATATCTCTAGTGATATGCAGCTTACAGGATCATATAACTCATTCTGCTATATGAATCATCAACTCTCTTTTGGAAGAACTAAAGAACCTGATTTATGTTTTCCAATTTTTATAAATTACATGAATGTGTCATAATTACAATGCTTTTGAATCTCTTTTCCTTTCCAGGAGTCCTATCCAAAGAAGAGAAATTATGCTATGGAAATTGTACCATCTGCCTCTCTGGATACATTTCCTTCAGAAAATGAGAACTTTCTATGTGATCTCATGGACACAGCTGTTACAAAGAAACCATGTTCCCTAGAAATTGCAAGGTCATCATCCCCAAGACCTGGTAATGTTTCTTATTCATAATCAGGCCAATTAAGCTGCATTCTTTTTACATGTAAAAATATACCATTAACATTTTGATTTTCCACTATAACTTCAAGATGGAAATGCTCAGATGTAGTCCCAGTGATTCTTCTGTGGTTTAGTGGTGAGTCCTGGGAATTGGTATGAAGATTCTTCACTTTCTGACAACAGCCCTCATGTGGGTATCATTTCCTAGGTAAAGACACTTTAAACCCTTGAAGAAATGAGGGGAATAACTTCTAGGATAAATAACAAACTTTTTGGTCCTTCAGAACCACATAACCACTTTGGGAACAACATTCCTTTATATATATATATATTATTGCATCTTATATTTTTGCAGCTCATCAAAAACTTACTTAGCTACTTTGTAAATGGTTTATATATTTTGTGAAATGTTGAGATCAATTGTTTTAATTGTTTGCATTACAAACTGGTGGGTAAGGCAGACATATATTATTCTCATTTGAGCTTTGTTGGAATTGTGTCTAATCCATGATCAGCAGCTGATGGAAGCTCATTTAAATGAGCTTCTACTGCTGTCATGTTGGCTTCCTATGACTGTGCTCTGCCTTTACGAAAGAAGACTGGGTAATTGCACAAAAAGCAAATGAAGGAGGAAAGTGTCAAAAAGATGGTCATTATGTTCAACAGTGCAAGAATTACATGGAAAATTTTGATGAGGGACTTCTTGTGGTTTGGAAATTTAACTTTGAAATTTTTTTTATCATTTTCCTTGATACAATATTGTAAGTAGGGGGATTCGCCATTTCCCTCCCCTTTCTTCCTCTACATTTCCACCCATATTATTATAGTGGTATAGTCCTTTAAGATTCTGCTATTTCAGTGTATCATGTAATTGTAGGTAGGAATAGAAAGTCTAGTATCCTATTGCATGGAATATTTACTATTTCACTGAGTCCTTGTTTTATTTGGGAGTAGAAATGCACTCTGTTACCTGAATACTAGTCTTTGATAAACAGTTCATCTAGACTATATGTATATACCAATTCCCCTGTGTATCCGTTTGTTTTATATTTTGCATGAATGCTGCCTTAGAGAGAATTTATGACATTTGTCCTTTCAAATTGACTTATTTCACTATAATAATGGTCTCCAGTTGGGACCGTTTTGTTGCAAATGGTAGAATTTCATTCTTTTTACTAGCTGAGTTGTAGTCCAAGGAGTAGATATTCCCCAGTTTCTTTATCCATTCCTCTTTTTTTTTTAAAGATTTATTTTTATTATTTTTTTATTGGAAAGGCGGATATACAGAGAGGAGAGAGAGAGAGAGGAAGATCTTCCGTCCGATTTTGATGGACATCTGGGCTTCCATGTCATCATAATGTGGCTTGTGCTGCTATAAATATAGGGTTACAGCTCACTTTCTGATATACAGATTTCATTTCTTTTGGATATATTCCTAGCATTGGGTTAGCTGGGTCACACTGACTCCCAAAGTGGCTACACTAGCCTACGCTCGACCAGCAGTGGGGTGGGATACCTTTGTCCCTAGATCCATACCAACAGGTGTCGTCGGTACTTTTCTGAGTGTAGGCTTTTCTCGCTGGAGTTAGATGGAGTTTCAGTGTTGTTTTTATTTGTGCTTCCTTAACAACTAGGGAGCTCGAGCATCTTTTCATATGTCTGAGGCATTTGAATTTGTTCTTTTGAAAAAATCTTGTTCATTGTTTTGCCTATTTCTTCACAGAGTTGTGTGTTCTGTTGTTGCTGAGTTTCTGAAGCTCTTTGTAAATCCTGGATATTAGTCCTCTATCTGTTGTGTAGTGTACAAAAATTTGCTCCCTAGAGTTTTATTGGTTACCTCTGCATTTTATTGATAATTTCCTTTGCTGTACAGAAGCCTCTTAGTTTGATGTAGTGCCATTAGTTCAGCTTTGATTGCCTGTGCTTTTGGTGACTTTTCTAGGAAGTCTTTGGCTATGCTTATGTTTTATAGAGCTCTTCCAATATTTTTCTCTTGGTTAGATGGTTTCTGGGTGCAGATTTAGGTCCTTGATCCATTTAGAGCTGTTTTTTGTACAGGGTGACAGGCGAGGGTCTTGTTTCTTCTGCAAACTGAAATCCAGTTTTCCCAACAGCATTCGTAGAAGAGAACAACTTTTTTTTGTGTGTTATTTTCAGTTCTCTTGTCAGAGATTAATTGGCTGTACATGTGTGGGCTCACTTCTAGGGTTTCTGTTCTGTTCCATTGATCTTCTCTGTTTCTGTACTAGTACCAGACTGTTTTGATTACCACAAGACAGTATGCGTTTAAATCTGGAATTGTGACTCCTCCAGCCTTATTTTTATTCTTCCAGATAGCCTTGGTTATTTGTAGTCTCTTGTGTTTCCGGATGGATTTTTGTATCATCTTTTCTATTTCTGAGAATGTTGTTAAGATTTTGGTTGGGATTGCATTGAATCTGTATATGACTTTCAGCAATAGGGACATTCTTAAGATGTTGATTTGACCAGTCCAGGAACATGGCAAAATTCTCCATCATTTAATGTCTACCTCTATTTCTTTTCAAAATTTTCTTTCGTAGATGTCTTCCGTATGTTTGGTTAGGTTTATCCCAAGGTATTTAAGGCTCTTCTCCACTATTTTAAAAGGTACTGTTCTTGCAAATTCTTTCTCATTAGTGGAGTTTTTTGTATAAACAAGGACCAAATTTATGTTCATTGATTTTGCACCCTGCTACCTTGCCAAACTCTTATGAGTTCCAATAGTCTTTTTGTTTAGTTTTTGATTCTTCTATGCACAGAATCATGTCATGATCACACAGGAGTAATTTGATTTCCTCATTTCCAATGTGAATTCCTTTAATGTCTTTTTGCTGCCTAATAGCTCTAGCGAGGACTTCCAACACTATGTTGAACAGCAGTGGTAACAATGGGCATCCTTATCTACTTCTATATCTAGTGCAAGAATTCCAGTCTTTCCCTACTCACTCTGGTGCTGACATTGGGTTTTTCACATATTGCATTGATTATCTTATGGTATATTTCTTCTCAGCCTATAAAGTTTTTAGCATGAAGTGGTGTTAGATTTTATCAAATGACTTCTCTGCATCCATTGAGATGTTCATATGGTTTTTATTCTTTATTTTGTAGATTTGGTATATCACATTTATTGATTTACAAAAGCATTTTATTTATGTTAGGTGAAAATATTTCATGGATTTCATATATACACATTTAGAAGCACAATGGCCCTTTCCATTCTCTTCTCCCTCAAACCTACACCATCACCTTCTGTTCCCTTTCTTCTCCTACTTTTTAAAAAAAATTATAATGGCACATGTTCAGTTTATTTTATGATTACAGACCTAACCCTTTACTAGGTCAATAATCGAAAAAGTTGTAAGTAGAAAAAAATTGTTCCTCAAGGGCTATAAACCGCAAACAAATGTTAAATATCAGTTTCATTTAAATTCATTTCATTTTGTACTCTGTATTACTTGTCATAATCAGGGGAAATACATGATATTTCTGTTATTTGGACTGGCTTGTTTCACTGAGCATAATGTGTGCCATTTGCATACAACAAAATAAAGAATCCAGTTAAGAAAGGGGAAAAAAATGAGCAGGCGTTTTTCAAAAAATAAAGTTCAGGTGGCAAATAGACACAAGAGGAAATGTTCAGGATTACTAGCCATCATGGCAATGTGAATAAAAACCACAATGGCATTTCCATACATTCAAGCTAAAATAGCTATCATACAGAAATCAAAAAAACAAGAATGTTAGTAGGAATGTGGAGGGGCGGGGGGGGGGGAAGGCATCCATGGCTGGTGGGAATGTAAGCTAGTACAATTATCATGGAAGCCAGTATGAAAATTCCTCCGATTTCTGAAAATAGACCTGCCATATGATACAGCCGTCCCACTCTGGGAATTTACCCAAAGGAAATGAAATCAGCATATATGAAACACTATCTCTGGATGTTAGTGCGACACTGTGAGGTGGGAACTCTGATGAAGGGGTAACACAGGTTATTCTTTTGAGGTTAAAGGAGGAAGTTTGATGGTAACTTAGCAAAAACAATATAAGAAGGAATTGGCTGATTCACTTCAGTGTTACTAAGAGCTGCTCATCTTTTGAAGCTGAAGGAATTTTCCAGTGGAGAAAGCTCTAAAGATAAAGGATTAGAACAAAGACAACAGTTGAAATAGAAGTTGGAACTGAATTAGTCTGAGATGCAAACATTACTTTTCCCAAAGATAGAGGGAAGTACACTTATGACAACTCTGAAATATGTGTTTTCAAGATAATTTTTAGGATAATTGGCTAGAAAGAAATGCCAGGCTTTTTGTTCCCCTGAAAAGTTGGGGGCTTTTTTTTCCCTCTCTCTCTCTCTCTCTTTTTTTTTTAAGAATCATTAATTTATATGAAAGAATTATATAGAGAAAGAGATTTTCCATCTTCTGGTTCACTTTCCAAGTGGCATCAGCTTCTGATTGCTTTCCCAGCCACGTCAGCAAGAAGCTGCAGTAAAAATGGAGCAGCTGAGAATTAAACCTGCAGCAACTTGGAATTTGAATGTTTTATAGTCAACATAGCCCTCTGTGCTACACCCTTCTCATAACTACATCATGAAAAGGTTTAATGTTCAAAAAAGTCATTGTACATAGGCCAGGGATTTTATATAGTTGGATTCATAGATTTGGGTAGCACTCAGGCTAAGGTATTGTATAAATTCTCACAAACATAAGGAAGGGACAATTTTTAAATGAGGTGAGAATATGATGGAGTTGCCTAGCACTATGGGAATTGGTTCTAAGACCTCTTTATATATCAAGATATGAATATGTGAAGTCCTTATATAATGTTGTAGTACTTATTAAACCTAGGCAGATATATCATATATATTTATAATCATCTATATATTAGTACAGTACCTAATGAAATGTAAATGCCATGTAAGGAGTATAGTGATACGTAGAGCATAAGAAGACAAAAAAATATGCCTGTTTA